CGCCTTCATCTACAGAAGCCTGTACAGTCACTGTACACATATCCCCACTTCTTTTCATACCCATAAAAGCACCATCTTGTCTACAGTCAGACAATGCATGGAGGAATCTTTGTATGAACTCCACAAGCACCACTTGCTCTGAGCCCTGATTTGGGAGCACGCAGAATGATTTGGTTTATCTTCCTGCCTACCTGTGCATGTTAGGCCGGCTGCTTGTTTTTGTTTGTAAAAGTCAGCAACAGGCCTGACACAGATATAGATCTTATCCTCACTTACACTGACCCCAAAATGTCAACAGGATAAAGTCAAGTTGTTTTAATTGGAAAGCAAACCTTTCCGCCTTATTCTTGTCATTCTTGTCTCCTTCCAATCTTTAAAGCTACACATGGCCTACGGTGGCCTACCGAATGGCTCCTTTGAACATTTTTAATGTAGACATGCCAGTACATAATCAGGTAAAACACATGGGTAAGGGGGAGAGGCGGTGTTGCTTTTCTGCTGAAACCTTATATTTAGGCAGCGGAGATCACAGCCACGCTGCAAAAAGCTTTTCAGCTGATGCTTATCTCGTTTACATTTGATTTATGTGTTACCAGGCCTCTAAGGCTAATAGAAATCCTTTGACTGTTTACATAGTGGCACTGAATCGGCAGTTGTGTAATAGGAAACAAGCAGGTGGATACAGCCCTGGTTCACAAACTCTATCTATCTCTGTGTTAGATTGATGGGAGCAGCAAGGTGTAGATTTCAAGGCAGCGCAAGGCCTTCAGGCTGACTGAGACCATGCATTTGTGTCACAATGCGTAGCCAAGTGCATGAAGTGTGTCAGCGCACAGTCCACACAACACACACAGCACACACAGCACACACGCTGTGGTCCTTATTAAAATTTGACAGTGAGCCTGAGCAGGGGGGGTGTTTTGAGCCGTGCTCATCTCGCAGCGCGCACATTGACAGTTGTAATATCTGTGTGTGTGTGTGTGTGTGTGTGTGTGTGTGTGTGTGTGTGTGTGT